GGAGCAAAGAGGATCGGATTAAGGGCCTTAATCTGTCTCTTATACACATCTAGATGTGTATAAGAAGAGAGAGAGAGAGAGAGAGAGAGAGAGAGAGAGAGAGAGAGAGAGAGTAGTTTTGGGCCACGTGGCTGGTGTGGCAAGAAGAGAAGGGCGGGAGAGAGTTGTGGAGAAGAGAGAGGAGCAACGAGGTTCTGGCTCGGCGCGCGTTGACAGGGCCCCCTGCTTGGTTGACCGTTCCTGACTCGGCGCGCAATGATGGAGTCCTCTTCGTCGTCGTCTTCTAAGCTTTCGCCCTCTCCTTCTTCCGCATTCTCCTCTCCTCCCTCCTCCTCCTCCTCCTCCGCCTCTTCATCCTCGTTGCCTGCTTCGAACTACGCGCCGAGCCGGTCAGGGTTGAGCGGCCAGCAGGACGTGGCACGTGGCCGACGGCCTCACCGTTGGGTGCTTCGTAATCCCTTCGTGTTTCGCGTGGGGACCACCATGACAGGTGTCGGCGTCGGATGCGGTGTCGGGATCGGGGTTGGAAGACCTATCAATCTTGGTGAGTGCGCGTATCCCTAACAACCCATCATATTCCAATCGGTCCCCTGTTCCGTCAATTACGAAATCCAATTAGTCACTCAGTCCCTCATCCAATCAACCAATCTATCATTCAATCCACTGTCGATCACTGACCCATCAATCAATCCACCCACCCATCCAATCTTTAAGTCCTCCAGAGTCCAAACTTTCGAATTTCATCTTGGTCGCATCTGCAATCGAGAATTTGTTGGAACCCCCCGGGTACTTTGCCCCCCTTCATTGTCGTTGATCGAGGGGTTAAAGCACCCCAGGGTGCTTTAACCTTTTTGCAGTGCTACACGCCTTTGAAATCGTGCCTGGCTGGCTGGGTGCTGCGTGTGTTTAGAGATTTTTGACCACAAAGGAGCGAAGCCGCTACCATTTTTATTTTTTTATTTTTTTAAAACCATTATACATTCCAAATCATATTCAAATCGAGGCCGGGGACCTCACAATTCTACCCGGAGTTATCTCGGCAGCATCAGCCGGTTTAGCTTTTAGACACCTGTTCCAGACAGTGCTGGGCCAGTCCAAAACGAACAACTCAAGCTCCTTTTTCCGGAGACCGAAAGGAACTAGTATGATTTTGGGGTTAACTTCGGCGCGGTGACGAAAACAGTTTGTAATTGCACTTCAGGCAATCCCGCGAATACAACACACCCCCACGCGACCCCACCGGACCCGAAACGTAGGTCATATACATTCAGCATTTAATTTACCGGCCCTTTTGCCTCAAGAAGTGCAATTACAAAGTCAAACCCTGACTGCGCCGTAGTTTTCTCTATGATTGATTTTTTTACATAATAATCGAGGCAGCCGCCAGGCTGTTGTATAATGAATGAAGTTTTAATAAAAAAAAATGAATGTTGACGTAACACATTTTCGTATCGATCGATTGCTTTCGTCGATCAAGCAATTGATCGAGGAGTATCTGTCGTTGATTGGTAGGTCAATCAATCAATCAAACAATCCAATTAATCGATCAATCTGTCAGTCGACCAGCCAATCAACCAATCAGTCAAGTGATCGATCAATCAATCCAATCAATTATCGAGTTGGCTAGGCGATCGACAGTCCAATGAACCATGTCATCATTAAACCTGTCAACCATCGAAAGGGATACGTGAAATTGTCCTTTTTTCGATCAATAGGACGCGTCGAATTCGAAGGACACGCGGGATTTGAAGGACACATCGGATTTTTACGTAGGCATTTGTGTGACCGTCTTCACGACATGCATGCAAGTTGGCCGGTAGAAGGAAAGACAAAAAATCGAAAGAGGACGTCGTGATCACTATTCCTTCCTTATTAAAGGAGGATACTTCGACTTTGTTCATAAAGGATGCGTGGAATTACGAAAGGATACGTGGAATTGTCACAAAAAAAAGGGCACGTCGAATTGTTGAAATGCATGCAGTTTTGTTTGGACGTGTTCAAGGCATGCAAGCTCGTCGAAAACAAACAAGAAAAAAGAGAACAGAAGATGTGTTCCATGAATGAATGAATGAATGAATCAATCAATATCTCAACTCAACCATCAATCAATTAATCAATCAATCAATGAAGCAGTCAATCAATATCTCAACTCAACCATCAGTCCATCAATCAAGTAATCAATCAATCAATCAATCAACCAACCAACCAATCAATCAATCAATCAATCAATCAATCGACCAACCAATCAATCAATCAATGAGGGATTTGAGCAGCAGTCCAACCTAATCGTCCAATTAACGAAAATCCAGCCATAACGTCGCTTAAACTTTTGATGCATCAAGCTGACGCAATGGATCCAAACACTTATCCACTCCGCTGCATCCCTGGGGGCGACGGCGGAGGGGGGGGGGCGGTGTTGGGGCTGATCAATACTATCAAGTAACCCTGACCAAGGACAGCCGATTAGTCAATCAATCTTGTACTTTTGTCGTGTGTAGGTTTTGTCAGTCGACTATACCCAATCATCGAATCCAAATCATAATCTTCTCCAAAGCCTCGTCTTGTGTAAAAAAAATTATCTCTGTCCAAACTCACTCATCTTATCCACGTCTTATCCACAATCACCAACTCAAAAAAATCATCTTTTTTTTCCAAGTCTTTCTAAAATTATCTTGTCCAGGTTGGAACGGTGGGTGGTCCGCAGGGGGCAGCAGGGAAATAGCGGATCGCCGCCTGATGATGCCGGAGCGCAGACGGCTGAAACGCGCAGAGGGAAGATGCCTGAGCGAATTTCAGAAACATGCTCTTGACGATCTGTGTATACCACCAAAAATAAAATAAAATAAATGAATAAAATAAATAAAAAAATAAAAGAAAATAAATTAAAAAATAAAATAAAATAAATAAATAAAATAACATAAAATCCGTGTAAACGCTAAACCAGTCACACGAACCTAAGTAGATATAGCTCAATGAGTGGTGCGTTTACAGGGATTTTATTTTATTTTATTTATATTATTAATAAATTCGCTCAGGCATGTTCCCTCTGCGATGGACTTGGTGGGCGCCGACAGGCGAGGCGGTTGGTTTTCCTCCTGATGAGACGAGGAGCGCGACGTGCGTTGAAACGCGTAGAGGATGATGCGCAAAGCTTGGACATGTGTTTACACGCTTGTAACTTTGCTATATAAAAAATTCACATTAGCAAAAATAGAAAATTCACATTAGCAAAAATAGAAAATTCAACATTCACATTAGCAAATAATATAGCGTGTAAACATTGCCGATGTGATTTTTTTGCCGGCCTGTACGAGAGCAACTTGGCCATTGCTCGTCACGATTCTAGTCCTCTCTCTTGCCGGCGGTATGCGCGGGAAAAGCATTTGGATGGATGTGGGGCTGGGCTGGGCTGGGCTGGTAGCGAAAGCCACAGGCGACTGTGAGAAGAGGAGAGCAGTTGCAGGCTCGCGAGCCTCGGAAGAGAGCTTTCGTGAACTTAGACGTTTTTTGTGTGAACTGGCGGCGGTTTGAGCGTTTTTTTTTTTTGGGAAGCAATTTGGCTTTTGCTTGTCGTCGTTATTTCACTCTATTCTTACGCAAACTCACCTTACCCAAATCTTATCCATAAGCCAAGTATTGAATCCAAAAGTCATCTTATCGAGAAAATCGTCTAAATTCATAGAAAAAAAAATTCACCTGAATCCACAATCAAATCTTATCCAAACAGACTGTTGATCAACTTCGAACGCATCTTATCCAAACTCATGCTGTCCATCATCATCTGCTCAAAATCACGATGCTCTGATCGGAAATGAAAAAAAAATAAAAAAATAAAAAATAATTTAGTTGTCTATAATCATCGACCCAATCCTGCAATCAACTGCTGTTGAAGCATCAGGTGTCGCCGAGCCGAGCAAGTTTATATAAAATTTACTAGGCTGTAACTTGCGCCCGTATACACGCCCGGGTGCCCGGGCGGACATGAACCCCGGGGGCAGGCTTCCGGGCAGACCCAGCGCTAAAGAAAGAACAAACAAAAACACTTAAAAAAAAAGAATCCAGAAAAAAAAAAATGTTGTGTAGAATCGCAATGCAAACGACCCTTGGCTGAGGGACACGTCAGAATTCCTCGCGGAACCGAAGATAAGAAAAGAAAACAATAGAATCATACTACAGTAAATCACCCCCTTTTAAACCCCTTCAGCCCCTTGAAAACCAGTTTAGTACCTCCTTCTCCCCCCCCCCCTCTTCCCCCTCTCTCCAAGCAGCCAACACTCGCAAGAAGAAAGGAGCCTGCATTTGGGCTCCTCTGGGCATGCGCGGAAATCCCCCACCCCGAAAAAAAGAAGAAAAAGAAAGGGGCTGGATTTTGCCTGCACGGGGTGCCCTGTGCAGGTGACCACCGGCGACGTGCCCGGGCGAGCCAAGTAGCCTAGCAAACTTACGTATTTCACGCAATCCCTTCAGTTATGTGTATTTTATTTGAGTTTTTGTGTGTTATTAACCCCCAAACCAACCCCCGGAACGCGTGGGTCATGATGGATAAGTAACCTGGTCTACCAGCAGGGCCGCCCGGGTCACCTTGTTTGACCGGGCGGCCCGGCCGTGCAAGGACCAGGGAGGGCCCAGCAAAAGAAAATTCCAAAAACTGCCCGAAAAAAAACGTGTTATGCAGAAAAATGAACTGAGCAACTTTTGCCTTAGGGTTCAATCAAAATTCTTTACCTATATCTAGGCTACCAGCCGGGCAGCCCGGGTCACCCTATTTTCCCGGGCGGCCCGGTCGTGCAGGGACCAGGAAAGATCCTAGCCAAAAAAAAAAAAAAAAAAAACCGGAAAAAAACTATGTTATGCAAAAAAAATAAACTGAACAACTTTTGCCTCAGGGTCACATTGACGTTCTTTGCCATC